AGTATTGCACATTTTCCCTGAATGGGAACCACTTTGATCAATTCAGCTGATAAGTGTGCTTGTGAGTCCCCAGGCTATAGAAGGAGACTGTGTGCTTCATGTAAACCCGTGTTTCCAGCTCAGTATGTCCCCAGCCACCGCTTACATCAGTTTGTTATCTTCTCTCATGATCTGGGCCAGATGCTTTCCCCCCAGTGTCTGATAAGGCAGACAAGAGGAACCAGATTATTGCTAGCTATGTTTTGACTGTTAGCAATTTGCCAGATATAAAAAGAGCCATAGACAGTCTCTGTATTTCAATTGCTGTTAAAGTGTTCCTAAACCCAGGACCCTGCATTCACTATATCTGGTCTCCCACAGTACACAGAACATGGAAATGCAATTATTTTAGTAAATATAAACTGCTAAATACCTTTTCTCATCAGCAGTCTGAGCAGCCTTGTGACTTTTATCAGTGTTCAGCAGGGCACTGGTTAAAGCTTGTAGGAGGAGTTTTCTTTCTGCTCTAGGAGGATGCCAAACCCCTGTCTGGACAGTGCTGATTGGCCCTATGCTGATCACATGCACTCTCCCAAGGGAAAAAAAAAACCTCTAGATAAACACACGAAACTGAGCATGTGCAGAGTGACTCCACACAATATGTTTTAGGAGATAATAGGGGGACATGGAAAGAAGGGGGGGAGGATCAGAGAAGACAGGATCAAACGGCGTTTTTACACAATGCAGAGGATTAACCCCTTAGGTTCCACAGTGAGTATAACAAGCATGCTTTACTGCATATACAGACTGATTTCACTGTTGTGGGTTTAGTAACACTTTAATGGGCTGGTGTTGTGTATGGTACACTATTGCCCATGTCATATTGTGGAAGCATCAGCTTTTTCTCTCGGAGAGGAAATCGGCTGTTAAAGGGAATCTGTTGAACCAGAGAGGTAGGGCTTGGTGCCAATGGTTCAATCAGCTTTGAGGGTTAGTGATGGGGTATAGTCAAGGGTTACAATTGTGTGTTTAGGGGTTAAGAATAGGTTTTAGGGTAAGGTGAGGTTACATCACTTCTGACAGAGGAACATACGCTGACCTGGTTCTGTTGGGTTCAGTCTCAATACTTCACAGACTATTTACAAAACCTATATCTTTATTGTTAATATAAGACCCTGGTGGTGATTGCACCTCTTTCTCTTTACTCTTTTTTTTCTGACAAGTTGTAGTGACAGAAATTTTAAATAAGGAATTTGATAAAAACATTGTGGTTATGAATTCATTAAATATATTTAAACCCATCTTGCTTAAATACCTATATTTGGCTGGATTTCATTCTTCTGTAATCTTATGTACAGCTATTCTCAGACTGGGAAATGTTCTGCATTCACATGTGCTGACAGTACAGAGGGAGCAGAGGGATGATCCTATCAGTCTGTTGGTGCTCCTTTACTGTCCAATCATAGGATGGGGACAGGAGGTAATCCTGCTGTGTTCTGGGTTAGTGGAGGGGGAATAATCCCGAGGGGTAAATTAAGAGATCACTGCCTGTTCCATTCACTGGCTGGACTCCTATAAAGTAGGCCACAGCACCATTGCAGGATGTGCCTTATAAATGGCAATGCCTGGGTTTCCTCCGGGTTCTCTGGTTTCCTCGCACACTACAAAGACATGCTTATGTTAATTGGCTCCTGTCTAAATTGGCACTAGTGTGTGCATGAATGAATTAGGGACCTTAGATTGTAAACTCCTTGAGGTAAGGGACTGATGTGAATGTAGAATATATGTACAGCTCTGCATAAATTGATGTTGCTATATACGTACCTGTAATACATAATGACTAAATAAATGCACACAGTGGGCAGAGACACGTCACCAGAGCTGGGGTCAGGCCTTGCAGCCTCTCTGTGGCCAGGAGCTGGAAGTACTCATCAAGTGGATATTTAACAAGTTTCAAGAAAGAGAACTTTGAAATAAGTTAAAGGGCAGGTAAACTCCAATAAAGGAATCAAAATGATGGTAGATGGACTCCATGATCCACGTCCCCTCTAGTCTATTCTACACCCAGTAATGGCACTGGCATTAACAACTAATCATAATGACATCTCTGCTTCCAGTGCTGCCAATTGTATAGCAGGCCTACTGTATAATTTACCTGAACTTGAAATACTTGAGGATTTCAGTGAAGGTTACATTTTCATGATGGGGTAAAAGCGATTTACTGAGGAGCCAAACGCATTGTGATTTACAGAGGGCTTCAGCATTTCATCCCCCCCCCCCCTCTCTATCTGCTCTTAGCTTCTGGGCTCATTCAGATGGGACTCATTGGTTTTATCTCAGCTCTGTGCATTCAGCTGTGAACCATAGGAAGTCCTGCCTACATGTGACCGTTCAGGCTCCCGTCAGCTGCAATCACACTTCAATGAGTTTCTGTGCTGCCACTGTGTCCATCAGAGTAATTACTGCAAATATTTTACTCGGTCTCCATGTGTGTGTCAGATTTCCTGCTAAGATCGCAGTCCAGAATAACTGCTAATTCATCAGATCCATATATGCAGCTACTTATACAAGTATACCAGTTAACTGGCAGCTAGTAGAAAAGGGATGCTTTATATGGTTTTTTTTTTTTTTTTTTTTTTTATACCTTTAAATTTATGTTTTTGTGTTGAATAGACATAGGTGTGCTGATTTGCATTGCTGGCAGTGGCAAGGCTTACCTATAGCAGCTTGGGTCTTTATCCTGTACTGACATACGAGGAACTGTTAAGTACAACCTCTGTGCAGCACTACTTTTTTTATATATATATATATATATATATATATATATATATATATATAATACACACACAGTGAAAGAAATAAGTATTTGATCCCCTGCTGATTGTGAATGTTTGCCCACTCACAGAGAAATGATCAGTCTAAAAATCGAATGGCAGGTGCATTGTAACACTGAGAGACAGAATAGCAACAAAAAAAATTAAAAGAAATGTATGTCAATGTAACAATTTATGCACTGATTTGCATGTTTCATGAGGGAAATAAGTATTTGATCCCCTTCACAAAACATGACTTAGTACTTGGTGGCAAATCCCTTGTTGGCAATCACAGAGGTCAGACGTTTCCTGTAGTTGGCCACCAGGTTTGCACACATCTCAGGAGGGATTTTGGCCCACTCCTCTTGGCAGATCCTCTCCAAGTCATTAAGGTTTGGTGGCTGACGTTTGGCAACTCGAACTTTCAGCTCCCTCCACAGATTTTCAATCTGATTATGGTCTGGAGACTGGCTAGGCCACTCCAGGACCTTAAAGTGCTTCTTCTTGAGCTACTCCTTTGTTGCCTTGGCCGTGTGTTTTGGGTCATTGTCATGCTGGATCACCCATCCAAGACCCATTTTCAATGCCCTGGCTGAGGGAAGAAGGTTCTCACCCAAGATTTGACGGTACATTGCCCCGTCCATCGTCCCTTTGATGCAGTGCAGTTGTCCTGTCCTCTTAGCAGAAAAACACCCCCAAAGCAGAATGCTTCCAGCACCATATTTGACAGTTGGGATGGTGTTCTTGGGGTCATAGGCAGCATTCCTCCTCTTCCAAACACGGCGAGTTGAGTTGATGCTAAAGAGCTCGATTTTGGTCTCATCTGACCACAACACTTTCAACCAGTCGTCCTCTACATCATTCAGATGTTCAGTGGCAAACTTCAGACGGGCCTGGACATGTGCTTTCTTGAGCAGAGGGACCTTGTGGGCACTGCAGGATTTCAGTCCTTGTCGGCGTAGTGTGTTACCGATTGTTTTCTTGGTGACTGGTCCCAGCTGCCTGGAGATCATTGACAAGATCCTCACGTGTAGTTCTGGGATGATTCCTCACTGTTCTCATGATCATTGACACTCCACGAGGTGAGATCTTTCATGGTGCACCAGACCTAGGGAGACTGACAGTTGTTTTGTGTTTTTCCATTTGCAAATGATTGCACCAACTGTTGTCACCTTCTCACCAAGCTGCTTGGCGATAGTTTGCTAGCCCAGTCCAGCCTTGTGAAGGTCTACAATCTTGGCCTGACATCCTTGGACAGGTCTTTGGTCTTTGCCATGGTGCAGAGTTTGGAATCTGATTGTTTGAATTGCTCCTGTGGACAAGTGTCTTTTATACAGGTAACATGAGAATAGCAGCACTCCCTGTAAGAGACTGCTTCTAATCTCAGCTTGTTGCCTGTATGTAAGACACCTGGTAGCTAGAAATCCTGCTGAATGATAGGGGATCAAATACTTACCGTATTTTTCGCTCCATAAGACGCACTTTTTTCCCCCCAAAAAAAGGGGGAAAACGTCAGTGCGTCTTATGGAGCGAATATAAAGCGGTTGGTCCGGTATTTCTGCCGCCACCATGTCAGAATACCGGGCCGGCCGCTCAGCTCTTCTCTCCTGCAAGGCCTTACCTGTTCCTCGCTCCAGCGCTGCACAGTCTTCCCGCGCTGGCTTCTCTGACAGCCGGGTGCCCACTGCACTGCGAATGGTCCAGTGTTTTCTGGGACACATGACAGGTCCCAGAAGGCGCCGGGCCATTCACAAAGCGCAGCGCTTCTCGCACATGCGCAGTGGGCACCCGGCTGTCACAGAAGCCGGCGCGGTTAAAAGGGGGAAAGACAACGCCACGGAAGTGGGAGCGGGTACCTGTCAAATTCAGGTACCCGCTCCCCCTCCCTCCCCAAAGGTGAGCAGTCTCTGGTCATCTCCTGTACTGTCTGCAGTCTCTGGTCATCCCCTGTACTGTCTGCAGTCTCTGGTCATCCCCTGTACTGTCCGCAGTCTCTGGTCATCTCCTGTACTATGTCCGCAGTCTCTGGTCATCTCCTGTACTATGTCCGCAGTCTCTGGTCATCTCCTGTACTGTGTCCGCAGTCTCTGGTCATCTCCTGTACTGTGTCCGCAGTCTCTGACTGTCTTCTCTAGTTCGTCTGCAGTCTCTGACCATCCCTGTACTGTGTCCGCAGTCTCTGGTCATCTCCTGTACTGTGTCCGCAGTCTCTGGTCATCCCCTGTACTGTGTCCGCAGTCTCTGGTCATCTCCTGTACTGTGTCCGCAGTCTCTGGTCATCTCCTGTACTGTGTCCGCAGTCTCTGCATTTCCTGTACTGTGTCCGCAGTCTCTGGTCATTTCCTGTACTGTGTCCGCAGTCTCTGGTCATCCCCTGTACTGTGTCCGCAGTCTCTGGACATCTCCTGTACTGTGTCCGCAGTCTCTGGTCATCTCCTGTACTGTGTCCGCAGTCTCTGGTCATCTCCTGTACTGTCCGCAGTCTCTGGTCATCTCCTGTACTGTGTCCGCAGTCTCTGGTCATCTCCTGTACTGTGTCCGCAGTCTCTGGTCATTTCCTGTACTGTGTCCGCAGTCTCTGGACATCTCCTGTACTGTGTCCGCAGTCTCTGGTCATCTCCTGTACTGTGTCCCCAGTCTCTGGTCATCTCCTGCACTGTGTCCGCAGTCTCTGGTCATCTCCTGTACTGTGTCCGCAGTCTCTGGTCATCTCCTGCACTGTGTCCGCAGTCTCTGGTCATCTCCTATAGTACATCCGCAGTCTCTGGTCATTCCCTGTACTATGTCTGCAGTCCATTGGTTCAGAATATTTTTTTTCTTGTTTTTCGCCTCTAAAACCTAGGTGCGTCTTATGGTCAGGTACGTCTTATGGAGTGAAAAATACGGTATTTCCCTCATGAACATGCAAATCAGTTCATAATTTGTTAGACATGCATTTCTTTTGAATGTTTTGTTGCTATTCTGTCTCTCAGTGTTACAATACACCTACCATTCGATTTAGACCAATCATTTCTTTGTGAGTGGGCAAACATTCAAAATCAGCAGGGGATCAAATACTTATTTCCTTCACTGTGTGTGTGTGTAAAATCTAAACCTTATTACATACCTTGACATACCTGTGTAATCGATCGATCACATACACACCTATAATCAATAGCTAGTGTTTCTCTGTTCCCCATTCCTTGTAGTGAGATGCCCTTCCCCAGGGTTGGGATTTTATATTGCATAAGAACTATGACAGTATTGACAATTGTCAGTTTGAATAATATGCTGTAAAGATGTTTAATAGACTCTACACAGGACATCTATCATAATGATTATTTTTTTTCCTGTAGGTTTATGTGTTCATTATCCCTGGTTGACACTGATGCTGTTTTGGATGTGTTTTCAGAACGCACTGATTTACATGTCAAGGGAGAGAACATGGCTTTCCATGGAGGTCGTTCACACCTATGCCTCCCAAACGCAATGTGATTTCCTAAAGGGCCTGGTGTGATGCGGTGCATTTTTGAGCCCCATAGACTTGAATAGAGACAGCAGTGAAAACGCTGCAGTGCGATTTCAGTGGGGGATACACCTTTTTGTAATGTCACAAAACTATGCATAGAATTTGCACCGCCTCAGTGTGAACCAGGGATTAAAGTAAGCTCTCACCAGCAGGGTCTGTGTAACCTCTTGTCTTGAATTGCATGGTAACTCTGCTGTCTCTCTGTGTGCTGCACAAACCGTTGGTTTGTATATTTTTTATTTATATCAGGTACTATTAGCGCCATCAGTTTACGTAGCGCTTTACATATATATATTGTACATCAATCCCTAACCCTCAAGGGGTGTACAATCTGGGGTCCCTAACTTACATTCACACATACACATACTAGGGCCAATTTAGACGGGAGCCAATTAGCCAACCAGCATGTCTTTGGAGTTTGGGAGGAAACCGGAGTACCCGGAGGAAACCCGCACAGGGAGAACATACAAACTCCAGGCAGGTGGTGCCATGGTTGAGATTCGAACAAACGACCCTAGTACTGCCAGGCAGAAGTGCTAACCATTTAGCCACTGTGCTGCCCATAGTCTAAACCCAAGAACAAAACAAATGCAGCCACCACATGTAAGGACTGATGAGCTGCAATATATTACGTGTGTTCTTGGATTTAGATATGCTTTAATATAATGTGTCTCAAAAAAATCTAAAATATATTTGGTTGGTTTTGCTGGAACAGATATCATGATGCATGACTGATAACTTAATCTACAAAATAGTTTCTAAAAGGAAAACCACATAAGGTGTTGATTAGGGCTCTGGTATCTGGAGGAAGCCGTAGCTCCCCAGGATATTGTCACAGACCTGTGGCTTTAGTAGTTTCCTCCAGATGAGCTGCACGCTACACTAAGCCTGAGCTACTATGGGACTGCAGACTCCAGCATGAGCACTAGATCATATTCTGAACATACTTTCCACGTTTTATAAATAAGATAGATCAGTGAATAGCTATAAAAAATATCAGGCTTATATAATAAAGCATCGGATTTCTGAGTGTGATAAAAGCATTGCAAAGCGATTTGTGACATAAGGATGCTTATTATGGCATTGTAATCGTGACAGAGAATTAACAACCGTGTTTGTGGCATTACAGTGCCTCCGATTGCAGCAAAATATTGACTCTAATATCATATTCCTATCTGCACAGGTTCCCTGCAGGCTAAGGTCACATCTTTGTGTCTGCAGTTTCTATCATTATTCTTGTAGTTCCTTTTTTTTTTTGTCTAAAGTCAAATAAAGAAGAGTTTGCTAGGGGATGTGGGTTCTCTTTGTCAGTACATGATGTTGTATTGTTGCTCTGAATAGTTGGTGGTTATATCTGTATATGGGGATACAATTTTTGATCCTATAATCTCTGCTGATCTAAAGCAATAGACTTTCTGGCTGAGACCTGGAGTACAGCAGTTTTTTTTATTCATAGGTAATATATTTTTTAATTCAAATAATAATTTGATTTGGTAATATCTGGCATGTACAGAGTTAATTCATGTGAACAGTGATCGTCAATGCTGGGTCCACGTAACACAACATCCTGCTTCTAGATAAGAGCAGAAACTAGACTAGGCTGGAGTTCCTCAAATATCAAAAGATCGCATTTTTGCCAAAAGTAACTAGTTAACTGAAATAACTGTATGTAAAAATGTTAAATCCCTCCTATACTGTCATTGCTATTTGTTAAGTATAAGCAGTGTCCATGTTTGATGAGACTAAACCTGCCCCCTTGTTTCCCCACAATCAGGGAGGAAGTACAGGAAAACTGTGTTCGCTGGGCGAAGAAACTGAACTTTGTCTGTAAAATGAGTGCCAACCCTGCCACTGGCGTGCTGGACCCCTGCATCTGTAGAGTCTCCGTCCGGAAGGTGAGCAGATGACAACTGTGACACACTGGAGGAAGGGGGGGTCATGTGGTGCGTGCTTGAAGAGGCCATTATGTCTGCTAAGCCGTATAATCTCAGCGTATGGTCCAAGGATTTAGTGTGATGCTGAGACCAAGTAATTGTTCACTGAGGGGTATACAACTGAATTGGCAATATGACATCATGGGCAGGGAGGGAGCTGTGCCAGCAAGCCTGTGGGATCTCTCCAATTGTTTTATATCCCCGGTTCAGAGTGTGGCCATGTTGTCACTTGTTCCTTGGGAACATGGACTGCAAAGTGCTGGTTCAGCCCCACACCACCTCTTAGTGGATTAATAGAAAGTGCAGTTAGTGTGCGCCTGTCTCCTATATTAAGGCCAGGCAGACATTTTGGGGGTACAACATTATTTAAAGGAAACGTGTCACCAAGAAAACATAGAACATTTCTCTCAGCTTTATTGAATAATACAATAAGGCCTCGTTCACACCATAGTGCAGACGTCAGTTTTTCTGCAGGAGTTCTGCAAGGGCACAAAGAAAATAATTGTTCTCTATGTGCCTGTTCACACCACAACATTGCTCTCACATGCAGATTTTTCTCTGCACAGGAATCAAACGTGTACGCCATTTTCTGCCCGGAAAAAAATACTGATTGACAACAACATTGTGGTGTGAACAGGGCAGAAGAGAAACTGATGACACAGGGTGTGATATCTATCTGTGCATAAAAAAAACGTGCATGAAAACTGATGTCAGCCTGCATAAATATCCCTGAAATATGCATGAAAACTGATGTCAACCTGCATAAAAACTCCCTGAAACATGCATGAAAACTGATGTCAACGTGCATCATGAAACATGCAAAACTCCCTGAAATCCCATGCATGAAAACTGATGTCAACCTGCATAAAAACTCCCTGAAACATGCATGAAAATGGATGTCAACTCAGTTTTGCCTTCAGTACCAATTTAACATTTCTATGAACGCAAAACTTTTTTTTTTTTTTTTTTTATTTTGGATAGCAAAGAGTAGGGTTAGAATCTTTAGTGGGCTTTTATTGCTGCATCCTCGCTCAAGAGGTTCCCCCTTTTCTTTTTGTCCTGATTATTGTCACCAAGACAGAAGTGGATGGGGAATCAGAGCAAGAGGTGAGAAGAATTTTTTCAAAGAGGACAGTTGTTACTAGTTAACCAAAATAACTGTATGTAAAAATGTTAAATCCCTCCTATACTGTCATTGCTATTTGTTAAGTAATCCAATGGGGGTGTTCCCCTGCCTTTGGGGAAATATCCTCTTTTCCAGTTGTTTCTCCAGCCCAGGTAACCTAAGGATATCTCCTCAGCTGGACACAGACAGGAGAAAATAACCAGGTTTTATCCCCTCCTGTTTTTTTCCAGAAAAAAAAGAGAGCCAAAAATAGTTTTGATTATACATACACTATAAAGTGTTTCTAAAGGTAAAACATTTTTGCCTCAATTCATTCCCTGCATTCAAGTGTTACTAAACCCAGAACCCTACATTCACTATATCTGGTCTCCCACAGTACACACAACATGGAAGTGCAATCATGTTAGTAAATATAAACTGCTAAATACCTTTTTCTCATCAGCAGTTAGAGCAGTCTTGTGACTTCTATCAGTGTTCAGCAGGGCACTGATTGAAGCTTGTAGGAGGAGTTTTCATTCTGCACTTGGAGAATGCAGGACTCCTGACCTCAGTCTGGACAGTGCTGAATGGCCCTGTGCTGATCACATGCACTCTCCCAAGAAAAAAAAAAACCTCTCTAGAAATACACAGTAAACTGAGCATGTATAGAATGGCTACGGGTTCAGTCTGTCTTATCAGGAGATAAGATTTGGACATTTGAACAAGAGGAGGAGCAGAGAAGACAGGATCAAACAACCTTTTTACACAGTGCATAGTATTAACCCCTTAGGTTTCACAGTGGGTATAACAAGCATGCTTTACTGCATATACAGACTGATTTTACTGTTGTGGGTTTAGTAACACATTAAGGTGAAAAATGTTTTGCCATTTGCTGTAGACCCTCTCAAAACTTACCTGAGTCTTGTGTCGATCCAGTGCTGTGCTCGTTTGCTGGTCTCTCCTCTCTCCCCACTCTCACAAGCTTGGCTGAAAGCAGGGGGAGCCATTGGCTCCCGCTGCTGTCATTCAAGTCCTGTGAGCAGAGAGTGGAGGGGCGGGGCTGAACCATGCTGTCACACAGCCCTGCTCAAGATCATACCCACACGTCTGCCCCCATAGCAAGTGGCTTACTATGGGGGCAGACACAGAAGAGGAGGAGCTAGGATCCCACAATAGGAGGTTTGGGGCTGCTCTGTGCAATACCATTACATAACATTTTTAATATTTTAATTTAAAAAATTCTTTACTAACGTTCTAAATCAGTGGCAATCAACTGCTGATTACTTAGTGGTGGCAACATGATTCTAAATGTAAAGTAAATATCTGCAAGTGGCTTTGAAGTGTTTGTGCAGGCTTCCAGGCTACTCTTTCCCTCATTAAACTTGTACAAAGAAGATATGGAGGCTGCTGTTTCTGACACCTGGCTGTCATGCTGACCACTTCAGTACTTCTCACTGACACAGGACAAGTATGCAGATCAGGAGTTCACACTTGACTCTGATATTCCTGAGCTGCATGTTTGTTCCAGGTAAGTGATTCAGAAAATACTGAAGCCCTATGGATCAGCATGACAAGCAACTTGCTAAAGAAAGTAGCTAACACCTCTCACTACAAGTTTTCTTTAGCCCTGGTTCACACTGATTCGGTGCGGAATTCGCATCGGTTTCTGTGCAATTTCCACACCGCATCATAATCGCACCCGTTCATGTGAACCACTGCGGTTGTGTATTTTAAGTTAACAACACCCTGAAATTGGTTCGTAAAACGCGGTGCAATGTTCAGAATCGGATTGCATGGGTGTGAACACCCATGCGATCCAATTCTGGTGCGGTCAAAAGTGAGGGTTCTGCACTATTTTGGTGCAGATGCAGTGTGATTTGAATCATACAAAATGTATGGCTCAGATTGCACCGCACAGAAAGCGCATGTGATTTGCCCAGCAATGTAGTGCTCTTCCTGTGTGAATCACATGTGATGTGCCACACCGTATCAGCGAGAATCAGGGCTTATAGTGAACCTTCTTTTCCTAAGCTTACATAATTACATAGTCTGGCTGAAAAAAGACAAAAGTCCATCCAGTTCAACCATTAAAAAAGGAAAAAAAAAAGTTATAATCCTACAGTTGTTCCAGAGGAAGGCCAAAAAAACCCAGCAAAGCATGATCAAATTTGCTCCTGCAGGGGTAAAAAATTCCACTGATTTAGAACGTTAGTAAAGAATTTTTTAAATTAAAATATTAAAAATTCCTTCCTGATCCCCCGAGAGGCAATAGGATATTCCCTGGATCAACTTTACCTATAAATGTTATATCCAGTTATATTCTGCGTATCTAGGAAAGAATGCAGGACTTTTTTAAAGCTATCCACTGAGCTGGTCAGAAACAACTCTTGAGGGAGTCTATTCCACATTTTCACAGCTCTTACTGTGAAGAAACCTTTCTGTGTTTGGAGATTACATTTTTTTTCCTCCAGATATAAAGAGTGCATGTGAACATGTTTGGGGAAAAGAATCTCCCTATCTCCATAGCACTGGGGAGGTGTTCTGTAGTCTGCACAAAGAACTGGGAACAATGCTAACAGCAGAGACAGAGAACACGGGAATTATCTAAAAACATAAAAACACCAAAAAGTGTTCCCACTTGCTGATTGGTTTAAAAAGAGAAGTGTTGCACTGCCATACACCATACAAAGGCTAAATGAACCATGTGGGAAGATAATGTGGGAAGATGGTTCAGTTAGCCTTTGTATGGTGTGTGGCAGCGCATACAGGAATTATCTAGCTCACTGGATGTCTGGCAGGACCAACAGGTTTTTTTTTTTTTTTTTTTTGCACTTTCAACGTAGTACATTAAAGGGTATGTCTTAACAAACTGAAGTAGAGCAAATAAAGAAGCTTATTCATACACTTTTTTTTTTTTTTTCTTACAATCGGGAGTCTGGCCATCTTGTTTTCCTTGGTGAGGTTGAAAGCAGATGTTACACCTTTGTATCACAGAAGTCGTGTCACACTTACAGGGGCTATTGATGGAGTATTGTGTCTGCACTATATCTGGGGCCTGCCGTGTGTTCAGTGATGTGGGGTGAGATGAGTAGGAGGCATTGTAGAAGAAGCTTTGCGTGTGAGATGTGGGCTGAGCCTGTGTGATGCAGGATGTGAGATGTGGGCTGCAGTGCGCAAACACATAATACTAGACGTGGTCTTAACCCTGTAATCGCCACAGTGATCTGATAATTGTTGGGGATGAAGGGATTAGGGGGCAGCTGACTGCACAGATCTCTGTCACTAATTGTTGCTGCTTCTTTGCTCGATGGCATCAGAATGGAAATAATAATCTATCTCTTCCTGTTACAGGAACTGAAGGGTGGAAAAGCGTATTCAAAGGTAAGACAGGGGAAATAAATCTTTCATTAAACTCGTGTTTTTTCCCTCCATCCTGACAGTACGCAAACATTTCAGGCATAAAGCAAAACCTATCCAGGTCAAGCCAACAGGTTCAATGTAATGCTCCCTACCCAGCAGCCTTTAGGCTGAGGACACATGGGCCGCTCTGCCGCTAGCATTCCTGCGGCTGACAATTTGTCAGAAACAACAACAGCAGGATTGCTAAGAGCCTGCCTGTTTTGTCCCTAGCGAGCTTCAGCAGCATTCTGGCCAGCGACAGATCGACGTGTGTGACCATGAAGGGAATGATTTCATGGGACACACAGGAAGACTTTTTAGCCATGCTTCAGCTGGCAGTTTATCACTAGCCCCTGTGTCATCAGCTATACTTGTTTTTCCTTTACCCCACCACAACTCCAGTCATCCATCAGGATTGAGGAAAAGAAGCCCTTTCTAAGCTGCATATTTCTCCAGTGCTCCAATGACATGAATCACCCACAATGCCCCTGGTTGGCATCAGGCATTATATTTATGGGAGAACAGGGTTTTTTTGTTTTTACTCATAATAACGATGTGATTTGGAAATATTGACAAGTGCCCAGGATGAATCCTGTGGAATGTTATGGGTCCACTTCCAGAGATGCTTTGCATATAAACACAGCAGCCTGGCAACTCCGGAAGTTATTTGTTGATTCATACCTGTGTACTTGGTCACAGATTTTCAAGTAGGGAGTCAGAGCTTTTTGGAATTATGACATGTATGGAGTATACACATGGCCGAAGAGCCATAAAGCATATACTATGCATCACATGACACAGAGGCCGGACATCATCTCAGTACAATCACACTGTCATTGGGAGAGTGTGAGAACCGCCTGGTCAGCATACTGCGGAGGAAGCCGCCATAGGGACACTGTGGGCTGAGCATCCTTCCATATTGGGCCTCTTCCTCTCTGGGTTTCCTGACACTGTGATGGGATGTAGAGACCCCCTGCCAACACCATCATGTGACGCAGATGAGCACTGCAATAAAAGTACTTATTTATTTCCTTTCTGTTAACATGCATACCTTGTGACATTGGCAGGGAGCGAGTAGTGAAATAGTCGTGGTGCTGTTCACGTCCTATCTATATAACAATACATAGTGTGTGCATTGAAATAATTTTCCCATCATTCCTTCTTCTGAACCAGTGTGCCTCCATCTTGGCTGTGTCTCTCTCTCAAAGCATTATTGTTTGCTTTACAGCTGGGCTTTGCTGACCTGAACCTGGCTGAGTTTGCAGGTTCTGGATCCACAGTACGCTGCTGCCTTCTGGAAGGATATGACACACGAAATACCAGACAGGACAACTCTATCCTAAAGGTATCGTATGCTACTTTGAGTCATCATCATCATTCACTCTGGACCTTTTCCCTGTTTTACTTGCCTACTCATCCTCCATTTTATCCAGCTTGTGTCACATTCAATTAGAGACAACACTTTTGGAGCTTATGGTATTTTCTTAAAGGCTAAGTTCTCCTTTAGGAAAATGTTGCATGTTACACCTGTGTCTACAGTGTAATATGTTATTAAGCATCAGTTTTCCAGCCCTCTCCCTATGACAGCACATGAATGTTCTTCTCCCCTGCAGCTGCATTTAAAATTGGCGCAGCTGTGTGGGGTTCCATCCACATAGCCACATCATTCATTCACAGAGATCTGTGAATAAACTACAAGTCCCATCTGCTACTGCTGCAGACTAGTAGGTATCAATGGACCACAAGTGCAGGAACAGGTGCACTCCTACAAGTGTCACACTTCCTGCAGATCAGTATCTGAAAGTCCGTACAGAGGAAGTGTCTAAAGGAGCCCAACATTGCACTCATCATCCATCGGTCGCGGATGTGATTTTTTTGGAGGCTTTTGTGCATTTATTATTTTTTGTATGAAACATGAACTTAACTGATCAGCTTAAAAATAGAAAATGGACACTAAACATGTGGCACAAATGACTCCCTACAATATGTTCTGAACTACTTGGGTAGCATGAAGTGACTATAGTACTTGAGGATGATTGCTCTATGCGTCAATTGATCTCCTCTACTATGATATGTGTGGAATGTATTCCATAGGGAGCTATTTGTTCAACCTGTTTAGTATGCAATTGCTGCTCTTAGTGATTATGTGATATCCATGTTAGTAATCCAATTAAGCTAGTTCTTTTAGGGCTTGTTCACACCACAATTTCAGTGTTATGGATGTGTTTTGCATAGGCATTTACATGCATTTTTTAATGCTTTTTACGCATTTTTAATGCATTCCTCTGCATTTTTTTTTCTTTTTTTTTTTATTCTGACATTTAAAAATCTTTATTTTTTATTAGTACAATGTGCATTTACACACATTTCGATGCGTTCCAGATGAAATAAATGCAGCAGGTTGCACTTTTGTTGAAAGAACTGGAACTGACCGCACTGCTGTGAACTAGGGCCATTGGAGTACATGGCAAACACTGTGCATGTGTTCTGGATGCATTTTAAAAATGCACTGGAAAGCATCTGGTTTGAACCAGCCCTTAGTTGTAGACTTTTGAACCTTTTATCTGTGCCTGCCTGTGCTACTGCTACAATGTGTTTTTATTAATATCAGTGCACTCATAAAGACTTCTAGTATATTAAAGAGACCTTGTCTCCAACTTAAGAAATTGAAGGTAAAAGCTCAGCAGATTCAAGTATTTTTAATGTTTACTTGCTGTGTTTTTCCTTTTCAGAAACACATTTTTATTTACTTGCAATGTGCTTTTCAACTTGCTATAAAATTTTGCTACACCAAGAAGAATCAATTCCCTATCATGGCCTCTTCCTCCTTGCATGTCATAGCCTTCTCTTTCTTTAGTAGTGTCCATGCTGGTCCAGTTCCTCTGCCCCTCCTCCATCATCCTGCATAACCTTTTATGCAACTGCCAGGGGAGAATGAAGGGGAATACTATAGAATATTCTTAAGTGTCAGCTCTGAGTCTGCTGGGGCTGCTGACATCACAACCAAGATGGCGGCACCCAGCAGCAGTCTCAGGGTTTTTGAATGTCTACAAAAGGAAAGCTTTTACAGGTAAACAACATGCATAAATACAGTAAATTCACATATGATCTTATGGGAAGATTTGTATTGAAATATATAGTCTGGTGACCGGGTCTCTTTAATAATGGCACTTCCCTGGAGTGTTGTGATTGCTTTTTCATCATATTTGGCAAATATTGCTGTTAGTGTAATCAATTATGTAATAATTATTCCTGTGTCCTTTACAGGTAACCATTGGAATGTCCCTCCTGTCTGGAGACCCCTGCTTCAAAACGTAAGTTGAGCCAATCACGTCTCAAACCTAAAATGTTTCTGATTAGATGTAATAATAATGAGGCAGCTGTTTTGTTGGCACTTCAGATATTTTGGAGGGTGCAGTGAGGTCCATGGGTGCCTAAGGCTATACTAACATTGCTGGTCCCAATAGCCTGACTATTAATTCAGCTTACAAAATGGCAAACTCATGTGTGTATTAGAGACAGGTGCTCATTAAGGCTGAATTGGAAACCGTCTGGCAGCCTTGAAGACTGACATCCCATCGTAAGTCTCTCGTGCCAGCCTGGCTCAAAAATGACCTGAGCTAAATTCAGTTGTTATTTAGTGAGAATTGGTGCAACATTTCAGAGAGATCATTGGAAAAAACTGTTTCTGCAATACATCAAGTGTACATGACTTTTATTTATTAATTTTTTTTTTTTATATATTGCAGACCTCCATCGACCGCCAAATCTGTCTCTGCTCCTGGGCAGGATTCCTCTTTGCAGATGACCTGTAAGGGTGAGGGGACAGTGCCTTCTGCAGGCAGCACAATGCGCCAGAACAAGAGTCGGCAAGCTTTGCTCAGTTCAGGTACATTAGCACAGTAGCCATGTTGTCCTAACAGTTGAATTACAGTAGGCATGTCAAGCTTAATAAAGCTTTAGGTCTTATTGGGTGAATTATTTCTTCAGGGGCCACATTTTGGGAACTGAGGGCCACCCCTATACAGCCTAATCTACCTCTGCTTGTTTTTGCACAATGAAGGGACAGGAGCACATTAATCCAGCCCTTCCTGTACTCACCCCTCCAGTTAGAATGTTTTGAATAAACCCAATACAGTCATGGCCAAAAATATTGGCACCCCTGCATTTCTGTCAGTCACTACACCACTTCGCCCAGAATATTGTTGCAATTACAAATGTTTAGGCATTCTCATGTTTATTTCTTTTGTTTGTTGTATTGGTATGGCAGAACAATGTGGAGAAACACGCAAATGCCTAAATATTTGTAATTGCAACCGTTTTCTGGGAGATGTGGTGCATTATCTGACAGAAATGCAGGGGTGCCAATATTTTTGGCCATGACTGTACAAAACAGAGCTCTGATTGGCTCAGACTGCTTCCCTTTTCACTTCCAGCTGCTGCTGTGAAGAGGACTGTATGAAAACAGATTTATGTACTCATACTAGTAAACTCATGTACTCATAGTTTACTACTGTAAAATACATTTCATTTTCTGATGAATTCATTAATGGAATAAATAGTGTTTTATTATATTTAGCTAGAATTCTGCTTTAGATTAAAGGCTATACCCTTCAGAAAAAGATTTTGCAAGCTAAGACCTCTTATAATATTTAAAATATTGGAACTTGTTTTAATTTTGGTTTCTTTTGCTGCATTAAAGGGTCCATGTGACGGGATACTATGGGGATGATTTACTATAACTGGAAAGTGCAAACTCTGGTATAGCTGTGCATGGGAGCCAGTTTGCTTCTAACTTTCACTTGTTCAATGAAGCTTTGACAATTAAACCTGGCAGCTGATTGGTTTCTATGTAGAGCTGCACCAGATTTTTCACTCTCCAGCTTAAGCAAATCAACCCATCTGTGTTTTATTTCGGTGCAAAAAAAAAAAAAAGCCTTTGTTCCAAGTTGTGGTTTTGGGGATGGGAATATAGGCAGAGCCCTCCAATCAGCAGCTTTGCTAGAATCACATGTTCCCCTACTCTGGCAGACCTGATCATTTTATTGGCACTAAAGGGAAATAGAACAACTATGGGATAAAATAAGTATTTCAGATCTGCCTTTTTGATTTTATTGCTTGGTGCTGACAAGAAAATCCTGGGGGTAAAAGTATGCATTAACAGACATTCTAATAGGAACATGGTTACAATCAAGGAGAGCCATCATCAGCCAGAAGGTAGTTTTACTAGCAGCAGAGAATGTGGGATCTGCATTGTTTCCCATGAGAACTGACAGGGATGGACAGAAGCCAAATCCAACAGTTGTTTTCTAACTACAAGGATAAACTATACCCAATCCTCAGCGAAGACTGTCTTCTTCCTCTACATATTATAGGGGTCTTTGAAGAAGCTGACCAAAATCTCTCAAGCCCTGAAGAGACATCCCATTCAGGTCACTCGAGGAACTCCAGCCAGGCCAGCCAGCAATCCAAAGTGTCCGGTAAACAATACTTTTATATTTTTGTTACAAAATAAAAAAATACTCTTAAGATGTAATTGTCATTTTCCTGAATATACCCTATATAATATATATATATATATATATATATATATCACTGGAAAAGAAAGAAACAATATGGTGTTGAGGAAATGGAAGAGGTATTTTGCATATCTCTGCTTTTCAAGCAGGAAGATGCCCCCTCTGAAATATCACTTTAGCAGTATCCAGGTATGTGTGACAGCAGACAGGGGTCCCAGCATCCACATTTAGTATAAATGGGCCCCTAAGTCTCAGAGGGCCCATGTGCATCTGCACAAATGGTATTTCTGTCCCTGGTTGTTTGTCAGAAATAAGGCTTGCAATACACAGCTGATGTTCCTACAAGGATATCCACTCTGTAATGACAAAAATACGTCCATGTCATTAATGGCCACCCTTAAGCTGGACATACACTGATCAATTTTTTTCCGGTTCCTGATGAACTTGTCGCAATTTGCTCATTGGTTGGCCTCCCACACAACATCCCTAAAAGCGGAGCTCCACCCAAAAGGGGAAGTTCTGCTGTAACCCTTTGTCCTCCGCTCCCCATTAAGGATTGGCACCTTTGGGGAGCGGATACCTTAATTTGACAGGTACCCGCTCCCACTTCCTCTGCGATCACCTAGGCGAACGGAAGTGGAAGTTGTCCTCCCCCTCTCTGCCCGTAGACGACAGGTCCCAGAAGACTACAGGGCCATTCACAAAGCACATTGCTACTCGCGCATGCGCAGCAGGCACCCGGCTGTGAAGCCGCAAGCTGTCACAGCCAGGTGCCCACACTGAAGATGCTGGTTCCAGGGAGAGAAGATGGTCGGTGAAACCAGCCGTAGTGAGGACACCGCTGGACCGAGGGACAGGTAAGTGTCTGTATTTTAAAAGTCAGCAGCTACAGTTTTTGTAGCTACTGACTTTTATTTATTTATTATATTTTTTTTCAGCTGGAACTCCGCTTTAACTGACAAATCAGGAGCCGGACAGACAATTGTCAGCCAGACAGTGCCTGCATCCATTCTGATGTGTAAGCTCTGACTGGAGCTGCTTGGAGTTTACGAGTGTTTGCTCCTGGGGCAGTTAGAAAAAGCATACAGCAGGGGTGGGTGAAGGCATCCAACAAACCCAGAGGTGTTGCAAGCTACAAAAGAGCAAAGAGTTTGTTTACCTTCTTTGTCATGAACAGACAATGTCTCTGTTGGGGCTCATTCACAGCACAACATTGTAAAAATGCATGCTTGTTGCACATTTCAGTGCATTGTTGTGCATGTTGACATCCATTGGTGTTCATTTTTTTTCACATGTTTTTCCTTATTTCCTGTATCATTACATTACTTTCATTTGCGTTGTGGTTATGCGTTTTTTTATATGCCTTTTACTTATGTTTATGTATGGTGCAGAAAATGCAGACCTGACTGTGCATGACATCATTTTGGTGTAAACAAGGCACAGAGAAACAGTTGTTTCCTGTGTGTCCTTGCAGAAACCTGTGTGTTTCTAGAGTAGCATTATAGTTATGTGGTCTTGGAACGGCAATAGAATCCCTGGAAGAAAATATCATTCTACTTTGATAGCCTACTGTAACATTCTGAAAGACTTCGTTGACCATTTTGTTTTTAAATCAGTAGTGTTTTGGAGCCTTTCAGCTTGTTTAGATGTGAATTGAGCTGCCAAAAAACTGAGGTGTCCTTTGATCCAAGGATGGCAGACTTTTCATGTCTATGACTGTTCAGAGCTCTCATTCACACACCACGATGGTCAGTACATGCATGGATATTGAAAGACATAAAATGCTTGGGAATGTAATTGTGGGAACACCAATGCCTGCCCTGCACTCATCCTGGCAAATAAAGATTTTCAGGTGCAGCAAAAATGCAAGACAGTGAGTTGCATCCACAAGATGCAAAACTCTTTTGTACAATGCTTTAAATACAAAAAAATGTGGCATCAAAAGGCATTATGGTTTTTGGCACACCCTGTGAATCACCCTGTCTGCTCTCAGATGACCAGTATGTTTTACCTCTACAGGACACAGCTCCGAACACTCCCGCTGCTCCAGTATGTCAGACTTGACTCACAGACGCAACACGTCCACCAGCAGCAGCGCCTCCGGGGGGATCAGCATTACGGCAGACTTACCTGAAGGAGAAAAGGAAACCAAACCAGAGAAGCCTCCAAGGCCAATCAGACCACCCCTCCTAGACAGACAGTCCAGGTAATGATCACACAGCATAACGTGATGTGGATTTATGATCTGATGCATCTTAGTAGTTTTCTGTTGTTATCCATGCTAGGATAGTCTTAGTTCTATACAGATGGTCTTATTCAATACCAGCAGAAACAAAACATTGTCTGTCTTAGAAATGTCAAATTAGTGACAGGGCCGTGAGTGTGTCTGTAGTCTGAGCATGGAATATGTGATGTGACTCAGCTGGGACTGAGTCAGTGTGGAGTGTTGGCTCCAGTGTCTGTGCATTCTGTAGCCAGCGCCTGTGACACGCTCAGCTCGTGATCTTCCCACTTGGCTTCTGCCATGGATTTTATTGTTAATGTATTCTTGGGCCCAGATTCCCCTTTTTTCTTAATTGTTTTGACTGTACTGCTCCCTGTTGAGAGGCCTCTTTGTTCCATTCACCAGATGAGCCAAATGGAATAAAGTTGTCATAAAAGCTTCCTTATTTTTGTTTTTTCTAATAAATATTTATAAATGGGAACACTAGCTGAATAGTTATTGTATCTAAAGTGAAACCTACTTTTAGCTTCAGTTACAGTAGAGATTGGTCAAGTTTCTTTTTTTTTTTTTCCAGATTCCTCCATCTCCACAGACAAGGTGGATAAAGAAATTCCCCCTCTCTGGGACATTGTATTCTGACAGCAGGACCTGCCGCTGTCAGAATACACTGATCAGCAGCTGACAGACAAAGGTTATCTAGCTTGTCCCTTTGACAGAAATCAATCAAATGATTGACTTCTGCTGAGTGGAGGAGCCCACATACTGACTTACTTTTGGCCTGTCCTTACTAATCCGGTTGCATTTTGATCAGTGTATGGCCAGCTTTAGGCAGTTGTTACCAGAACAGGTGTCCCCATTGAAAGATTTGCCATCACTTGAGAGTTGTCCCCAAGACAAATAGAGAGAGTGAATCTATCTATCTCCCTATTGGGGACATACAGTATTAAAACCCAACAGACGATCTAGCCACTCACTACTCTATCGAGCAAAAATCTGAAGAACATATAGAAACTGCTTTACCTGCCAAAATGATTTATATTGCACATATTTATGTGTTTCACCCACCTTTGCTGTGCTATGTTGCTGTACAGCATAATGGGGATGACAACACTTTCCAAAGTCTCAGGTTCTGCTGCTTTTCAGTTCCCTACATTCTCTTTAAACGTCTAGTGAAGACATCATGTGATCATACCCACTAAGACTCCTTCCTCATGCATAAACCACACATGTAATATTTAGTGTACTTCAATATCTAGAACTGCAACACAATTTTTTTGTGGTGCAGCCATAATTGCTTCCACTTGTTGTGATGCTCAAAACCTCATATCAAGAGAGATATTGATCATGTAGGGCAGGGGCTCTAAACCTGCGGCCCACAGAGCCCTCTGATGTGGCCCTCAACTTCAACATGAATGCAGGAGTTTTGGTGTGCTTTCAGAAAGTGTACCACGCCCGGAAGATATAATAGAAGTCTATGGCAAAGCACACCCAACCCACAGGAAAGCCACAGGTACATTGTACTGCACACGTGGTGCGGGTAAACTGCAGCGCATCAGTGTGAACGCAGCCTTAAAGGGCTCAGTTACATTTGTGGTTTAAGGAGCAGTGAAACCCCATAGTCGAGATGTGTTTTTACCATACACCTCCAGGCACTGCTGTAGCTTCAGGGGTTGCAATGGAGACCCCGCCCCATGCTCCAGGAGGCCCGTGCAGCCTCCCTATCGCATTCTGTTGTACACTTGCACAAGGTGGGGGGGGGAGGTGGGGTGGAATATACAGGAACCGATCCTCTCAATTTTCCCCCTGCAACTGCTGAAAAATGGCTTCTCCTCCTCCCACTGGAATTCAATGGTTGCAGGAGGAAAACCTTCATTATGCTATTTAAAAAAACAAAATTTTAATTCATTTCATTGTGGATCACTACCAGTTACTAAATCACTTAAGTGGCCCTCACTCTTCAAAGGGTTGAGCTTTCCTGCTAGGGTGACAGGATCACCGCAGCATGATCTAGAATGTCTCTGTAGCAGTAAGATATGTAATGATTCTCACTGGAACCAGACACAGTTCAGATGTAGGTACAGAGCATGTTATGCAGATGTTTTTAGGGCCTGTGTTGATGGGCAAATGCAGCTTGCTTATGACATCAGTTTGAGACACTTCTGAGGTCATGTAGAATGATTGATTGGCTGGCATTTGAACCATATTTTCTATGCTGCTAGGCTGCTTTGGAAGTGTTGCATTAGACTTAACATCTTTTAACATAAGAGAAGCAGTTATAATGCAAGCAAAAATGCTTCGGCATGTAGAGGCCCTTACTTGGAGGAGAACCAACACGTGACCCAATCATTGCTGTGTATGTCTGCTTGTACGGATGCCTGCTGAGTACAATTCCTTGGGCACTCCAGCCTTACTTGTGTTATGTCCCCCTACAGGAGAAAGAAAGACTCTGTGGAGAGTCACCCAACGTGGGTTGATGATACCAGAATTGATGCTGATGACATAGTGGAGAAGATCATGCAGAGTCAGGACTTCACAGACGTCAGTAACAATGAAGGTAAGTGTGAGGAATGTATATCAGGGCGTTGTACAAGTGTGCACTAGTCTGTGAACTCCAGGAATGCAGCTTATAAAACTCTGCTGCTACCACCATCCTCTACGTCCACCTGCTTGTTCCCCCTTACTGGGACTGGCTACATGCAATACAATCAGTAGATGTGTTTTAGTTTTACATGAAATTACCAGTAATATGAGGTTTGCATATTAGTAGTAATGCGACTGGCTTGTATGTCACATCATGCTCAACAGCCTGTCATTAATGCTGCATGCCTAAGAGACCAAGTGTATTTACCCAACTTTACTCCCAAAATTCCCTCTCGCCCCTTTAGATCAGGTCCTTGCAATCTATTTTCTTTTATCTTGTTTCTGTAGTGAGAAATGGCTTGCATTCATCACCTGGCTGGTAAAAGCCTTGGGGCAGCTGGTAGTTTTGCTAATGTAGGCACACCCCCTAGAACCACACCTACCCTTTCTCCACACAAAGTGTATGAGCAGGCTCTTAGGAATCGACACAGTCCGTTTGTTTTACTGGGAAAAAGAAATCAGTGTATGCATGTGGAGAGACACTGAGGCAGTAGGATAGGAGGAGTTCTGTAGTCTGTCAGGCAGGGCTGACAACGCTGGTTGGGATTTCAGAACGGCAGAGGTACTGTGTTGTCAAGTCAAACAGGTGAGGAGCATGCTGGATTTCTTGCAGACAACAACTATTGTTCTGTACTTGAAGCTTTCAGGTTGATTGAAGGCATCTCTGGAGGTTGGCTTCTCATTGAAGGCTTCAGTCTGCAGTGTGGTGAAGCAGTTGGAAGGCAGACCTCTCTAAAGTAGTAGTGACATTCTGCAATATGCTCCTCACTGTTTGACACATCTTACTAAATAAACCAGACTGTCTTACAATGCAGATGTACTAGAAAACACACATGAGGATTCTGTGCTCTCGTCTTGCAAAGCATTCATTGGTTACACATTAGATAGGATCAGCCATCTTTTTTTCAGCTACAGGCAAAAGGTTTACTGGAAGGGACTGTGACTGCACAATAGGTCTTTTATTTAAAGGAGAACTCCATGCAAAGCACAAACATGAGTCCATTTTATAGTGGAAAAGCAGTTTACTTGTGAGGGACCGCCGAGCGGCACCACTAGCACTCCACTGGTCAGGCGTGCCCAGAGCGCGGAGTCTAAGCCCCAGGGTACTTGTTCACCAGAGCCCCTGATGGTGGGGATGGACTTGGAGTACCCTGGGACCAGGTCACCACTACTGAGCACACCTGTCAGTGGTAGGGGTGTCCGCCAGGGGCTCCAACCAGGGAGAGCCAGATGTGAGGAGGTCGGGTGACCCCCATGGGATGGATGGCTGAGCAAGTGCGAAGTCAGACGGGCCGAATTGGTAACGTGGAGGACGGTATGGTACAAGGGAGCGGACAGAGAATCGTCGGGTCACACGCCAGGTCAGCAACAGCAGATCAGATCTAATGAGGGGCATTCAGAAGAGAGGTCAGGCAAAGCAAGGGTCTGGGCAGGAGAAATCAGCAGGTCAAGAGCAATCCGGGTCAAATAATTTACTAGGCACAGGTTCAGATTCGCAGGATACAGGTAGGACCAGAAGGCACTGAAATGACAGCTCAGGGACATTTAAATATCCCGCCCTGCGATTGGTGCCCAGCGGGCAGCCGTGGCTTCTACTGCGCATGCGCGAACTCGAACGCCGCGGCCGGCCCGGACCTAGTGGCCGTGTCCCTGCACAGTGCGTTGCACTGCGCCTGCGCCGGGACCATCGCGTCGGGGATCGAGGGGATCCCTGACATTACTTGTGTAGTATTTGAGGGGAAAAGTCTCATTCTATGTCTTGCTGTGCATCCTGGACTATTAAGCCATTACACACATGCTTTGATTCAACACAGATTCCTCCCCCATTCCCTTTATCAAAGGACATTGATTTTATTTGCTGTAAAAGGAGTTGAAACTGTACTACTACAGGACACAATCAAAGAGAAAAGACGCAAGTGCACAGCACCTGTGATTGTAAATGTCTACTGAGGATTTTTATCCTGACGTGAGTTCTCATTTAAATGCATGTAACATGTCACAACAGGAATTGTCGGAGCAAATATTGAGGAGTTAAAAGAAGGCCTGCATGGCCATTTTCCACACCTAATCCCCTGTACATTCCCCGGGCTGCACAGACACACAGATATTGTACATATTTCTCATTATGTGCTGTTAGCTATGACGATGGTGCATAGACGTCACCTCGGCTCACTCTCTCCCCCATCTCTCTATTCAGACAGTCACCTGAGGCTGTTTGTCAGCAGAGACGGATCAACCACACTCAGTGGAATCCAGATGGCTAACAGGTAAGTGGGAATTTCCTTCTATTCCATATATTATATCACACACCTTGTCATGAATATCCTATTCCAGGATGTAGCTATCACTGGGACCTTGCAGAACTGAGTTCTTGGGTTCAGTCCACATGGGACACAGTCTGTGTATTGTTTATGATACAATTTGTTCATCAAAATCCTAAGGTATGCTAGCAGCATATAGGGAATGTGTAGTGGTTATATATGTTTTATTTGATTATGGTCAAGAATAATATATATCTTTGTTTTAGTCATTTAGATATGAAATCTTGTATGTGGTTAGTTGTTCTTTTCTGGCTAGCAGGTAAAACTTAAGGCTCCTTTTCAGATTGTAATCTCTGTCTACCCATCTATTAAAAAAGGCGCAGTTTACACAGAGAAATGGATGACTTGCTGCAGCAACTCTTCACTGTTTTTGCAGCTCAATCCCAGTCAGTCTGCCTGAAAAGAGACCAATATTGCTATGTTGTCTTGTTAGACAACCCATAGGGCTCTAGGAATCATTTGTCATGCATAAAATGTTTTTTGTAAAACAGATTCTGTACATATAAAAAAAAAGTGTTTTAAAATTTATAACTTAAAAAAATAAGACTAAAATAAAAAGAACCCCAGGCTATTATTGTTGACCTTTTACATGGCTTCCATCAAAACTAGCCTGTATTGTGTGTCTGGATGACCGTAGTAGGGACATTAAAAGCTTCTCTAGAGCAGGCTCTGATCTGATGCTTCTGGGTAAAGCTCTAGAGAATGTTAGCACTGTGTAAATTGGTAGAATAAATATAGGATAAGCTTCCCTACACTCATTAGAGTGCACAACTGTTCATTCAGAAACACAAGCTGCCATCTGGTTGGTTAGAAGGCCATTAGTCTGCTGGCATTTTTCCTCTATGGGAGAGAATGGTGCCACCCGGAGGCCCTGTGAAAGGTGGACATTGAGTGGAATGCACACAAAGGTGATAAAGCTGGACAAATATGTATACTAAGATTTACTTGAGTTGTCCTTTATATGAAGAGTCTTCCCCTTGCTTTATGAACTTGAGGATGAGATAAGTAAATTCTGTAAAAAGGCAAAAAAAAAAAAAAACCAATACCAACCTCATTACTGGTATCAATAGATTAAACCTGTACAGGACTGAGTTTAGTATAATGATGTGCTCCAGGTCCAAAGGCCTTCTGCTGCAAGCTCTGGTCCTGGCTTTCCTCTGCACTCCTTGTAGCTGACCAGTTGGCACATCAACCCCTATTAAAATTTGCAAGGCCAGTGACCAATTCTAAATGGCTGATGAGCGCTGACGGCATAAGGCTTGGTTCACACCTATGCAGTTTGCTCTCTGCAGTGCGTTCTGTGTTTTCGAAATCGTATTCTTCATGTTTTTGATGCATGGTGCATTTTTTATGGGGTTTTTTTTTTTTTTTTGGCCAAAACGCATAAAAAATGTAATACATACTTTTCTACTGCATCTCTATTGAACTATGCATTAAAATGCATTATTTTGCATTTAAAAAAAGTCCCTGACACTTTCCAAAAATGCAGCAGCTGCAAAAAGCATAGATGTGAATGTGTCCTATAGGAAACCATGTTAAATGGACTGTAGCTCTGGCTACTTTGTATGGCTTTGCCATAGCAGAGCCATACAAAGCAGTGTGCTTACAGTGACAAGCACACAGACAGCTTACAGTAAATTAGCACACAGTTGACCCTCCAGATGTTAACCCCTTCCTGCCCAGTGCCATTAGTAGAATGTCAGTTCTTTTTATTAGCACAGTTCTCCTCAGAGCAGGACTGCGGCGGGCATTCTGACACTAAATCACTGATCGCTACCATTACTAGTGAAAACAAGAAAAATCCCAGTATCTATAGTGCCATTTGTAAACGCTATAACCTTCACATAAACCAATTAATTTACACTTTTTTTTTTGATTTTTTTTTTTTTTTTTAAGCAAAGACATCAGTTAAAGTAATGCAAAAAATGGCCTGGTCAGGAAGGGGGTAAATCCTCTGGAGGGCAAGTAGTTAAGCGGCAATGCACTTTTGATGCAGTACACCACATGCCTTTTAATTGCAGGAAACACACCCTTATTGCACGTCCTTGCTCTTTGAACACTATAAAAATGATGGCTATAAGTAAGCTGGTGGTTAGATTTGAACACAAGGCTCCAAAATGAATGTGATATGTGGAAGTACTTAGTATACACAGGCACAGCATTCCCCACTGTCTTGTAAACCAAACTAGCTGTGCAGGAATATGATCCCTTGTGTAACCGGAGAAGCAAAGGGAAGAGGCTCCCGCACAAAATTGTGAAAGTTTTCCACTGAAGCACTTTGACCCATTGTGGCCACAGCAGACAGTTCACCTCCACCCTTGTGTGCTTTCCAGAGATCTGGATTGTATCACCTCTTACATTCCTCTGGGCTGTTTCTGTGAGCGCTCTGCATAACATGGGAACACTGCTTTGTGTTACCTCCCTCAGATCTCAGTGCCGACCAGCAACACTTTTAGTATGCTGAAGTGTTTGTTATATGCACAACGAAGAGACAAATATGCATTTACTACATTTTGAAGAACTGCAGAGTAGCTGCCTTTCCATCTGATGCTATTCTGTGGTGACATGTTGTTATCCTGGGTGATATGACAACCTAATTTCTGAAAGTTTAAGCGTTGTTTACAGAGTATGGGAGGGTTATAACCCTTGTGTGTTGTTTGCTGTCTCTCTTCCATGGGGGATGGTAGTCCTGGTAGTCACTAGTGGCCCCTTTGGATAATTTTTTTTTTCCTCTGTTGACAACTCACAATTTGGGATTTTCTTTCTTTCATTTTCGGTGATTACAGTCACCGTGACGAATAGAGAGGATAAATCCCACTAATGGGGTCACAGACAGCATTGAATACCTAACAAGAAGAGGAAAATGTGTATTTAGTAACATGGTTCCCAAGTCAGACATATTGGCATGCAAGCACCTGTGGAGCTCAGGATTATACAGGCATTTAAAGATTAGTCTCCTCATTCTCTCACAACTACTAAAACATTTTGTTTTGAAGGACTCGTTTTCTATTGCAAGTAATTTTTCTCTGGGCAATATTATGCCACATTAGAAATATGCTACAAATGTATGTAGTGCCCAAACTTTCAGTTTAAATCGGCTAAATACATTCCAGGTGCATCAAAACAAAACGTCACAGCTTGAGTAGAAAAGTCTTTCCCTTGCCAGAAACTAGAGGAAAACAACACTTGCTCTGTGTGGAAGCAGTGGTCTCTCTGCAGAAGTTCAAAAAGCCTCCTACTGAGTCAGACCTGTAGCTCTGCAATCATGCTTTCCACTAATTGGAGAGCTCTGACTCAACAGGGGGCTTGTTGGACCTCTGCAAAGATATCATTGCTACTCCACAGAGTGAAGCTGGCCATAGATGATTGAACTCGACCGAGATTCAGCATTCATCTATGGGTAAGCTGATTGTAGCCAGCCTTGTACAACCAGCCTGTCAGATTTTTAGCATTCTATTATTGCCTGTTGCTATAGCTGCTATCAGCTCTGTGGGAGGCATTCCCTAATCAACACTGACTGTGTTAATGGGGGAATCGAGCGATTTTCTTATAGCAGGATTTGCAGGCTATAGCTGCTTTAGAAAGAACATGAACCTTAAGACTTTGCACACCTTGGATTTGATGCACCTGGAATGTATTTAGCTTACAGTTTTTACACTGAAGGTTCAGTGGAGCTGTGATCCAGCAGTTTTGGAACTACAAGTCCCATCAGGCAGTGTGTTGATCTGCAGGGCATCTAGCTCTGCAGCAGTTGTTGAGACTATAAATTTGTAGTTGGATTTTAAGTAAAGCTTTAAATGGACTCCAATCTGGAAATACAAGTCTAAAGTTTTTACAAGACTATGCATGCTTATGAAATTACATAATTCTCAGTACTGATTGTCTTTTGCTTTTTTTCAGAGTCTCTGCTGGGGTGTTTGAGCCCGTAGTGATTGAGATTCATTAAATCCAAGAGAGGCTGCATGTCCAGTCGGATCTCCCAGGCTCCAAGCCAAGTTCTGCATTCCAGGTTGAAAAGCTGGGATCTTTCCCTTACGAGGGGTGGGTGAGACACTCAGGGCTGGAAGCCTTCATCGGACTCTCTCCTGGTCCCCCTTCTTCTATTCCTGTTCCATCCTGGCACTTGTCCAGTTGTCGTGTGCACATATCCAGTGTGTTTGAGCTCCTCAATGTGTGACAGTGTTTTCGTCTGCTTCCGATCAGAGAGGATCGGACGGCATCTGGCCAGAACAGCCCAGAATCTCGGCAATTCCAGCTTCTGCTCACAGCTCTTTGGTAGTAACAGACCAATTGTTCCAGCAGGAGAAAGGCAGAGACAAAGCATCGTCTTACTGAGTGACAACTGCAGCCATTTTTGTTTCGTTCCCTCTTTACTTGTCTTTTCCAGCCTTTGCATGCTCAGTTAGGCCATTTTGGCTCTGTTAGGCTCTCACCTTGAGCAGTCTGAGGCTCTACATCTGACGTGAGGTTGCAGTTCAGCAAAGGGCAGTGAATACCCAAATGTAACATCCCCATTTTCAGTTCCATCACATTGATGGATTGGTTGCTACAGCCTGCCACGTGGGTGCACTAACTGATATTGTTGGGAAAGTTACAGGAGCTATTAGAAAGCAAAAATACTGCAAATATATGAAGGAGTTCTGAGGACTGCGTGCAGATACTTTGTTTTCCTAGTAAAGCCAAATGTTGTGACTGGCATAGGTCACCTATCAACAACCCTTTCCACAATGCAGTCCGCAGAACTATACTCTTGCTGTTTTGTGATTGGTTCTCACAGTTTTTAGGTGATTTAAACACCTGAGACAGGCATCTGTTGTAACCAATCACATCACTATAAAAATACAATATCTGTCACTGCAACCATGACCACATTTATCAGTGGATGACGTACACTTGTTATAAGAGTTAACCAAGCTGGAAAGAAGATAAATCTGGAGTGGTTGACACCAATTATGAAATGCTGGATTGCAACCTGATGGAAGGATGTAGTTAGCTCAGTAAACGAATGGTTGACTTGCCTTTTTTTTTTTTTTTTTTTACATGATTTGTTCCTCCTCCTCACGCGGTACCATTCTTGTTTCCTGTAACATGAAAACTAAGTGACTTTGGGTTATTCTCCAAACTTTCCCAAAGAAAGAAGTCAGTGCAGAACAGAGGCTTGTCCCTATACAAGGTCATGAAAACAGCTGGACTGTTCCAATAGTGCCCCCTGGCTGGGGCCATAAGATGCAGCAGGACTGCAGACACCCGCTGGAAGGGGTCATGTGACACAGCAGGTCTGTATTGAACCCTTAAGGACTCCGCAGGTAGGAGTCACAAAGCACAGCTGAGCTGTGGAAATCCTTAAGGAAGTACATGTAACACAGCAGGACTGTGACAAAATGTTTTAGGGAAGCACCTCATGGGAGGCACAGCTGGATGGTGCGTCCCAAAAGCGTGGCCCTCAGACGTCTGGCCAGATGGTGAGGGTCCACTTTTTTTTTTCTGTACTGGAGTCTTTCTTTAAGACATTCCATGACACGAGAAGCCTATGAGACAGTTGTCACCAGGGGTTAGCTGTGCTGGCACAGCTCCTGTCTCTCCGTCTGGATCCAGCCTCCAGCCCTGTTCAGTCCCGGCTCGATGTACTCACTGTCGCACGGCGATGTCTGCACAATTTCAGAAAGCCAGCAGGCTGGTGTTTCATTTCATTCCTGTGTCTAATCTAGATTGTCAATGTGAATTTTTCTGTGGAGTCATCTGGTGCTCAGGGCTGTTTCTCTTTGTTTTATTTTGTTGTATATGGAGAGCTGCAGGGGCTCTTCGGCTTTGGTTTAGGCTGTGTACACAACAGTTCTTGCTTTCATGGTTGGTAGGAGTTGTGTACAACAGCTAGCTGTGCTCAGCTCATACTGTAGCCTTGGGGGGGGTAATGACCAGCCTTCATTGGGTACTTTTTTTAGGATATTGCAGCATATTCATGTTCAACGCCCAATTCCAGCCAAAACCTTTTGTTATTGTTTAGGGTAGATTAGGAAGAGCCACGGTCAGGTTTTTTTTTTTTTTTTTTCATTGCTGGCTGTGTTACCATATACAATTTTCCTTCCATTCCTGTGTCCCCCTGACAGGGTGTCACAGGTGCAGGGAGGGATGGGAAGTGACAGAAGCTCTATTTTCATTGCCCAGTTACACCTTTTCCCTTATTGCTTGTACCGGTGTCACAGAGAAAGCAAAAGAGGGAAATCATCATAATGGTAGCAACAAAAAAAAGTCCTAGCGTACCTTTAACCCTTCCCTTCCCTTCCCCTTCTATTCAAAACTGAAAAAAGGGTTTTGGCTGGAGTTGGTTTTTAATCTAAATCCAATGCTGGCATACAACAAGCCTTCCTTTTGGATACTATGGCTTGAGCTGCGTTCAGTACATGCTGTACATACTTCATGCTTTAGCTGGCCATACACAGGACCACTTTTCTGATTGATCCATAGTAGATTTGATCATTTTTTAAAAAAATATTTACATGTTTAGTTAGCAAGTGATTCCAACTGGACCTTAAGATTTTTTTTTTTTTTTTCTTTCTTTTTCTTTTTTGTGCTCAGCCTGCAGGCTGGACAGATTCTTCCATCCGCACTACACAGTGTGTGGGGGGGGGGGGACTCTCCCTCTGTGATTGTTGTATTTTGACAAATTGTATTGTCAGGGGTAGTCATTCTGAGAAACATCTGATAGAAGGTAAAGTGAGAATTGAGGTCACTAGGCAGTCCTGATGGCCTTGATGTTGTGTCAAAGGTTAGACTGATCCTTCCCCCTGTGTATGGCCTGCATGAGTGTACTGCAAGAACTGTTGTAGACAAAGCTTTATCGAGTCACCACACAAGGTGTTACCCATCACCTCTGGAGTAATCACATTTGTCTTTGGAATATCCCTCCAAACCAGCCACCTATACCACTACCTGCTTACTTGTGAATGCGTTTTCTTCGTAATATAATAGAAAAAGGAACTTTGCTCAGAATCAGCTGACCAGTCGCTGTACTGCTGTTACAGTTCCAACTAAATGACCACTTTTGTTTGGGGCACTTTAATGATCGATGGAGTTGGTGCAGGGAATTTAAATGTTTGTATTGTTAAAGTTGTTGTTTTTCTTCTTCAGAGCATTAAAAATCTTCCAAATAATTCTATGTCAATTTAAGAAGCATGTAATATGTATTTTCTGTTTTCCTAACAATTGCAAATACCTCTGTTAATTGAATCCTAAGCACTTGAGGGGTGAATTGACTAACCACCATTTTCCCATCTTACTAAAGTCCTGTGTGTTTGACAAGAGATTAATGTTCAGATTTCATTTTGGATGATGTACTGAAGTACAAGAGTAATTAGTCAAACTCATTGGCGTTAAAAATAGCATAATTACCTGGGTGTGGTAATGAGAGGTTACTGCATTCTGGGAGGTTTCCTGGTGACAGAGAGCTTGCACAAGAGCTAAGCTTTGGGATAGCCAGTTTATGGCTTTACAAGTAGATTTTGCTGCTATTGGACTACATCTCCCAGCATGCTGTTTGGAGGGGGTGTGGTTTCTGGCTCTTCAGCCCCATCCCATATGGTTATGGTGCTACAGTTTCCAGCACTCTTTGGCTGGGGATGTAGGGCAGCAGCAGCTGAGGTGCCAAAGGTTTTCTGTATTTGTTTTTTATTTGTTATGGGCATTTGTTAAAGGCAATGCAACTAAACTGCTTTTCCAAATGGAAGCATCACTGAGGCATGAAGGGAAAAGTGTTTTAAGACCTCAGTGGTATCTGTTCTTCCCAGCACATTTTTAGGCTGGGAAGGAAAGATTCATTCAGAACACAAAGATGCCACCTTATTGAAGGTGACAGGCCCATCTTACAACCTCTCGGATTAATGCTGTTGTGGCTGTAATAGTCTCAGGACTTTTCAACCAGATCACAAGTCATAAGCCAGAACCAAAATTTGCACAAAGGGAATGCTTCAGAATTTATCCTGTAAAAACATTCTAGAACAATACATTCAGGGGTATAGAGTGTAAACTGGACAGGGCGTTATTTTTTATTCCTCCTTTTGCTTTCTCTTAAAGAGAATCTGGCACTTTGCCCTCTTTCATGCAAATCCTGACCTGTGGGCCTGTCCAAGGTTTATAAAGTTATTCAAACATCTATACTCTCCCTAGCTGGCTGCAGCACCAATCCCAGCTGAATCTGTCCTTTGCCACCTCTAAGAACTGAACCAAGACCGCTTAACTCCCAGTCTTCACTGAGCAGAGAGCTGGTGACTGTCCACCATCAGCTCTCTGCTCTGCTGCTCCAGAGCTCACTGGAGCATCAGGCTGTGGAGGGGGTAGGAGTGGTTGGCTCAGGCTGTCTTTGGCTCACTGAGAGGCTGAACCACCTGTTGGTCTAGGCATCTGGGTGGATCTAGACTTGAAAGTAGAGATCCTTCCAGGGCCTGGACCGGCTGAGTGAAGTCAGCTGACAACAGGTTACAGGAGTGCAGAACAAAGTACACTCCTTTGATCCATAGGAGAAATACATCCGAAAAAGCTTTGGCTATACTTCTGCTTTAACATATTTACATCTAAAAGGTTGGCAGCAGTGCTGGCAAACTGACCAGTATATCCTTAAACATGACTGTTGTCATTGCCTGTGAAGCAGAACAGGAGAGGTGCACTGCAGACACTACTGCGGTCAGCTGATCAGGGGGAAAATAGCAGTCAAATAAAATGTTTCTAATCCGTCCAAACTGTGTTACCCCACAGCCAGTAGTGTCTGCAGATAACTGGCTAGTTTTAGAAAACCATGTAAAATCTGTCAGATTAAGAAAACCCATTTAAACATCTATGAGAACTTTAAGGCAGGCCATGGATATTAGAGGACAGAGCTACATGCAAACCTGACCACTTAGGCCCCTACATGTGTATGGAGGAACTGCCTATAGATATGACACTGTCAGTCAT